GAGGAGTTAAACAAGAAGTTCTAACGTCACAGAATAGAGCTTTTAACGGCCATATGGCTTACTAAAGTAAAGGAATATAAGCATAAAATCACCGAAAACTACTTCGTGTAACGCTCACTAACGCTACCGATGTAGATGATATCTTACTGGCTAGTCATTTACTGAAAAAGTGAGAATAAAAGGAAACTGCCTGATATATCGTATTTTAAGCGCAATCCCATCCAACTCATTCCTACGGAATCTTACGAGTTTTTTCGCGGAAGAAATATTGTTGTTCAAGGTGTACCGAAAAACATGGACCACACAAACTCTGATATTCGAGAGTGGAAATTCATCAAGCAGTCCTTGATGTTCAAAATCATTGACTCAACTGTTGAGACTAGCCAAGAAAGACGGGAACTCTAGACCTCGGCTGACGGAAAGAACCTTCCCATCCTCCCATATGGCGGCTGCAGCTCTGAAAGCATGTCATGACAACAGACGCCAGCTGCCAACCATAATCCATATGCATCCGGAGAGGCAACATTATATCAAGGGAAATTTAGAGCTGATTATTCCACTTGTGGACTGTGAAGACCACAAAAACGAAGTTGAAAGAATAGGTGCTACCAACTCGGAAAACCTTATATAGGTAGGTTACCTGTCTATTTACAAAAGGTTCATACAGATAAACAGGATGGGAAAGCTTACGCATTTCAAATCGAATGCATGCACTGTTTATACATGAACGCCGCGAGTTCGCCGAGTAAAATGGATAAGCCGTATCAAGTCAGTACTGTTAATAATACTTACCTGATACGAATATCTGAAACATGGATATCTCAATTTACGGACTAGGAGCTAACAGTACCCGGGATGTCATTGTTTTGCGATGACAGAAAAACAGTAATTGGGGGTGGAGTAGCCTTATACTTACGATCTTTCCTGGAGGTACATCAGGTGCACAACCAGGAGTTTATCAATGTTGATGAATCTGTATGGTGTTCAGTAAGACTGTCTATCAGTTCGAGTGTCTAGTTGGGGTCATCTACAGAAAGTCCACTGGTGACATCGAGTGTGACAATCGTATGTTGGGAGGATTATGTCGTCTTGGGTTCACTCATATCCTAATTCTAGGGAACTTCAATCATCCTAAAGTCGATTTCGCGGAACGCGCCTTTATTGAAAGTGAAAACTCTGCCGAAGCTCGGTTCTTCAACCTTATTTAGGATCTGGGATTATTCGAAAATGTGAAGTTGGCAACTCGTTGGGGAAACAGTCAAATACCGTCTCACTAAGACTGGGTATTTACAAACGAAGAATTCCTAGTTGACAACCTCTCAATCCTGGTTTCCCTGGGGAAAAGCGATCATATCGTCATAGCCTTCAGTTTTATCAGCAAAACTGAGCTAAGACATCCCGCCAACAACAGGCGCTGGAATTTCAAACATTTGAATGTGTTAGATTTAGAGGACAATCTGCAACAGGTGGATTGGGGTGTTCACAATTAACTTGGTGTGGAGTCACGCTGGGATTTCTTACTGCACACGATCTTATGTTCTACAAAGCAGTCTATTCCTCAAATGGTTCTCAAAATCTTCAGGCAAACTACAGTCATCATGGACCTCACTCTTCGTTTGCCAAGCTTCGAAAGGCACTACTGAGCGGAATACAAACCTACCGGTAACAACGGCGTCTACAGGCAATGAAAACATACAGAGAACATATGCACAAAAGGCAATAAGAGAAGATAGGCTTCAGTAGCAGATAAAGCTTATCTATAAATTTGTCTTGATCCGAAAAGCTGACTCTCTTCGACAAGCTAAAATCAGAGTTTCCCAACTGCTAGGTCCTAAAGGCCCGACCACCAACAACGGTGATGCCGCTAATCTCACGGCTGAACAGTATTCTCGGACATTTCGACCGAGCACACTAACTTTATAGATGAAAACTTCATCTGTAACTTCACAGGAATTTCTGAAGTGAACCTGAGAGCTGACTTGATGTACCGGAAACTGCAACACCTAATATAGACACTTCTCTTAGTCCGGATATGGTTTATTCCACTATACTGAGGAGAACAGCTTCAACCCTGGCAACACCGCTTAGCGTGATGTTATCACATTCGCTAATCCGAGACACATTACCGGGAATTTAGAAGCTGGCTCACATCACACCAATTTTCAAAGTAATTCGAACCTACAATTTACCAACCGGTGGCTCTTCTCTCTATACCTTCATAAAATATCTCGTCCCTGATATACGACTGTAAACACGACTATTTATTATCCTTAAACTATTTTTCACCCAACAGCATGGTTTCAGGAGGGGTCATTCTTGTATAGCCAAACTGCTGACGGCGGTGAACAGATTGACAACCATCATTGATCGCAAGGGGATGGATGACATCATTTACCTTGACTTCTCAAAAGCTTTCGACAGGGTCAGCCACATAAGTCTTATCAATAAGGTCAAATGATTGGGTATCAAATTACCTTTAATTGATCGGCTCACTTCATCTTAAGGTCAGGGTTAACTTCAATTTCTCTCAGGCTATGTCCTGGTGGAGTCCTTCAAGGTTTCAGACTGGTACATATTATATTCTTGATTTAAATAAACGATCTTCCACAACACGTATCGTCTGACAAGTCGCGTTTTCTTGATGATGTGAAACTTTGGAGAAAGAGGCGCAACCACGAGATTATATTAGCACTGCAGAACGATCTGACTCGACTTCATAGTTAGGCAGATGACAACGGACATACCTCTAACACTTCAAAGTGTAAATTAGTCCATCTGAGACATGTTGCAGACTACAGCTACAACTTAGGCGACCCTACAGTTTGAAGTCTTACGCTAACTGTGACAAAAATGACTTTCAAGCAGACCTTGTACTGGTAACGTTGAAGCGCATTTTTGGCCAGTTTGACGGAAGAAACTTTCATATAATCTTCAATAGTTTTATCCGTCCCCATTTAGAGTACGGAAACATAGTATTTGCCCCCTCACTCCAAAAGGATAAGGACACCCTGGAGCGTATCCAACGGCGAGCCACGAAATCAGTTCTGGAACTCAAATTCAAGCCTTATGAAGAGCGTCTCCAATTACTAAACCTTTACTCATTAGAGTATAGGCGTCTTAGAGGTGACCTTGTAATGGCCTACAGTATCATTAACACTCCTGGACATCCTCTTAAACACCTACTTAAGTTGAGCCTCAAGACAAACCTAAGGGGTAACACGCAGAAATTGGAGACACAACATAGGAGAACAAACTGTAGACACAACCCCCACTCCTGAAGGGTTGTTAAATGCTGGAATTCGCTGCCGGCTGAGCTAGTCCAAGGGAATTCCCAGGTGTCTTTTAAGAGAGAACTTGATCTATTTTTAGGGACTAAGGATAGTATCTCACTATGGCTTACTTATTTCTTTTTCCTCATTTATTGTTGGTATACCTATGTATTATTGATCCACTGCTACTAAACACAGAAGCCCGTTAAGCGAAAGCCCCTTCTATTCCGTACATAACCACTTGAACCATTTGAATATTTGCACGAAACCTGTCCATATCCGACCTGATATTTTGTTACGACATCACACTAACATGCTTTATGACCGGTCGAAAGTTGTACAACAGCGACCATAACCTGGTTCTCCACACCACCGTTTCATGTAAAATGTGATAGGGATACTGTGCATATGCTGATTAGGAAAAGTTTCGATTTCTAGCTAAGCACTCTGAAAAAGATTGTTTACTAGTGACAGACTTTCAAAATACTAGATATGATCAATACCGTCACTAAATTCGTACTAGGCACTACTAAAGTTCAGTCCCAACGCAAAACGTAGATGCGATAGCCAGAAGTTAATAACACAACAAAGAAGAACGGACTATTGACGCACCTACTCTTAACGAGTGGTCAAACTATGAAACCCGCTACCGCACGTAGTGGTCCAAGCGACTTATCAAGAGTCCTACAGGAGGACGCTCGACATTTTACTAAGAACTCAGGACTCGGCTTCAAAGTTGGGTAGACGATAACGGACTTACCTTTAACACTTCAAAGTGTAAATTAGTCCATCTGAGACATGTTGCAGACTACAGCTACAACTTAGGCGACCCTACAGTTTGAAGTCTTACGCTAACTGTGACAAAAATGACTTTCAAGCAGACCTTGTACTGGTAACGTTGAAGCGCATTTTTGGCCAGTTTGACGGAAGAAACTTTCATATAATCTTCAATAGTTTTATCCGTCCCCATTTAGAGTACGGAAACATAGTATTTGCCCCCTCACTCCAAAAGGATAAGGACACCCTGGAGCGTATCCAACGGCGAGCCACGAAATCAGTTCTGGAACTCAAATTCAAGCCTTATGAAGAGCGTCTCCAATTACTAAACCTTTACTCATTAGAGTATAGGCGTCTTAGAGGTGACCTTGTAATGGCCTACAGTATCATTAACACTCCTGGACATCCTCTTAAACACCTACTTAAGTTGAGCCTCAAGACAAACCTAAGGGGTAACACGCAGAAATTGGAGACACAACATAGGAGAACAAACTGTAGATACAACCCCCACTCCTGAAGGGTTGTTAAATGCTGGAATTCGCTGCCGGCTGAGCTAGTCCAAGCGACTTCCCTGGAGTCCTTTAAGAGGCAACTTGATCTATTCTTAAGGATTAAGTATAGTATCACTCTATCATATACCGATTTCTTTCTCCTCTTTGATTGTTAACATACCTAGGTTCCTGCCTGGAGGATTTGGTGATCCCCTTCTACTAGACACGGAAGCCTGTTAAGCGAAAGCTTCTTCTATTCCGTCCACAACCATTTGAACCATTTGAACAGTGTTTTATTATAATTTACTAATATTTATCTTTTGCTCTACAAATATACTTAAGTTTCTACCTGTAGACATCGTTGGCTCACTGCTACTAGATACGGAATCCTGTCAGTTGGAAGCTTGTCCTATTTCGTCCATAACCGTTTGAATTATTTGTTTATAACAACTAAATTCTGATCTATTAACCTGTGGTTTATTAACCGCAAGGTCGCGTCGCTGTTCGAGCATCAGTGGTTGGTGTGTTTCTACATCCTATTCATATTATCCGTCTCCTTTGTATGCCTCATGATCCTATATGTTTATCTTATTCTTAAGCCCTTCTATATTTTATAGTAGCCAGCACAGTAATATGTATTATTACATTCCCATACCTAGAATTTATGGTCCTTAGACTAATATATATAACCATGGTTACAGAATAACCATAGCTGCTCTTTGTCTCATAGTTATGTTGGTACATCATCCTTATAGCATATGGCCAACTGTTCTCTTGAAATATGTTACTTTCATTTGCTAATTAGCCTCAACGGGGTTAACCCCGTTAAGGCATAAGCAGTCTTCAGTAATAAGGATAGTAGGTTGGTGAACCTGTATTAATCCTGACATATTGCTTTCCAGTGAAGGTCCAGCTTCTCCTTGAAAGTAATCACTGATGGAGCTGATACCGCTTGTTCGCGTAAGGTGTTTTAATGATTGACTACTCGATGAGAAAAAGGGGACCCCACTTTAAGTTTATTAGATCGTGGTTTATGAACCTTCTTGCTATGACCTCGGGGATTATTAGTGCTGGAGGGAACAAAAAGATAAGACATATTAACACCCAAATCATAATTAAAGATACGAAATGCCAGTATAAGGTCACCTCGTGTCCTACGATACGACAAGGGGAAAAGGTTTAGGCGTTTTAAACGCTCATCGTAAGGGAGTCTAGAAAGACCCTTCACTAATTTCGTTCCCACACGCTGGACACGCTCAAGGGAGTTAGTATCCTGTACCAGACACGGGCTAGCTGCTTGGATACAGTACTCTAAATGTGGTCTTACGTAGGTGGGACATAAAATTCGAAACGTTTCCTCGTCAAAAGATTTGAACGCTCGGTAAAGTGACCATAACGCACGAAAACCTTTGACAGCGGCTGCTTTGCAATGCGTAGTTGTTTTTAAATCATGACTTAATACTACTCCTAAGTCTTTATGCTCTTGAACGCATGGAAGAGGTTTACCCTCAATAGTGTAACGATAACTATTACCGTGACCGATGTGCATTAGCACACTCTTTCTAGCATTGATTTCCAAGCCCCACTCTCGAGCCCATCTAACTAAATCGTCTAAGTCAGCTTGAAGATCTAGATGATCAGCCTCAATTTTTATTATTCTCCAGATTTTTACATCATCCGCAAACAATAATGTCAACGACCTAAGTAACAGCGATAACTCAATAACGTAGAGAAGGAAGAGCAGAGGGCCTAAGATGGTGCCTTGGGGTACACCACTTTTGACCGGCTTCCAGTCGGATAGCGTTCCGTTGACCCTCACACTGTCTGCGGTCACATAAGAAATTTCCTATCCACTCATGTACAGTACCTATTATTCCGAAGCTCGTGAGCTTCTGCATAAGACTTACGTGTGAAACCTTGTCAGATGCTTTGCTAAAATCTATGAATATCACATCGACAGACAGACCGTTATCTAGGGCTGCTGTCTAATCCTCCCTCGCAATAAGCAAGTTAGTCAAGCATGAACGCTTGTTACAAAATCCGTGTTGCTCAGGAGCTAACAGATTGTGTAAATCTATGTGGCTTAGCAACCTAACCCGAATTATCTTTTCAATTAACTTAATGACTATGCTAGTTAGACTGACAGGCCAGTAGTTAGATACTATCTGTCGCTGACCGTCCTTAAATATAGGACTAACTATAGCGTCCTTCCAATCTCTAAGGAGTTGAGTGAGTGAAAGGGACATGTTGAAGAGTGTCGCAAGCGGTTTTGGAATAATGTCCGGAAGAGATGACAGCAACCGTGGATGTAACCCGTCCGGGCCAGGTATCTTAGCAGGTTTGAGGTTAATTATCAACGGAAGGACGGTTTCCTCAGTCACCTGTACAGATTCAATGGTTGGTATCTTGGTGTGAGTGGGACAAGTATTTGTTACAATAAACGTAGAAAAGACTTCGCTAAAATAGTTTGAATAAGTCTCAGCTTTTGCTCGATCTGATTCAGCTAGTAATTCTGAATTTTCGTGTAACAGTAACGGGGGAATACCATCACTACGTTTCATTCGCCGTTTAACATACGAAAACAATCGTTTCGGACAAGTACGGCTATCATATACTAACTGTCGTTCGTAAGTGGTACGGGATTTGGCTATGGTTTTCTTACAGATATTACGGACGTTTTGGTACTCACGCCTAAATGGTTCATGACCTGTCAACAAGCACCTACTAGACACCAAACTAATCGGCCGTGGTTTGTCCTTTCCAAATATTACTGAAATGTATTCAAGGCTTTAATGTTGGCCTCCAACTTCTGGAGACACGTTCTTTAGTTTGCCTCCTTTCACTTTGAGCATCCTAAGATAGAAAATTTCTTGTAATTCAGTTTGGTAGTTACCACGATGTACTAGACTCTCCTAACGTCTTTTCATTCCTCGTTCTTGACAAGCCAGTCTAGTCTACTATGCTTCTCTGATAGAGTTTCTCTTGTATATTCCCTCTTGTGGCTTGTTTAACCGTATTTGGCAAGTCATCTTCATATCCGTTTATCATCTCTGGTGTCAACCTTTACTCGTTCGTTCGATTCTGTACATTGATTTCTCTGATTTTGTTCGGCTGTTAACTACTGTTCCATGACCTACCATTTTGAATTGTCTTCAGACTCTGTGGTGATCCATTGTGCTTGTGCTTTTTGGGGCTCAGCACCTTTTAGTTTGTTGAAAATGTTGTGTATGCAACCAATATGGTTTTCAATAGTGTGATCAGGTGGAACCCATGTTACTTTGCTTATGATTTTTTGGGGAGAAATACTGCTGCCTATGGTTATGCTGTTGACAGCACGCAGACCTACCACTCTCACTATTCTCATTTCTTTCTTCCATTTCATGTTTCCCTTCGATGTATTTATACTCAGCGTTGTCCATTTCGACCTTAGCATTTAGATTCCACATCAGGATCGTCAGATGTTTTCCTGGTTACTTCTCTAGCATGGACTGGTCTTCCTTACTTCTTTGTTTTGAAAGATTCTTTAACGATTCTAAAGCCTTGAGGCTTGAACTATGTGGGTGCTTCTGTGGTTCTTTGAACAGGATCAGTGCAACGGAGGATTTTCTCCTTCGTGACCAGAATACAGCGTTCTCTTATTACGTTAATCTTTTCTGTCTAGACTATGTACAGTGAATCTTTCCTGTCCTCAATTCGGTTAGGTTGTGTCTTCTCATTTCACGTGCTGTTTAAATGATCCTCCTAGTCCCTTACATTGTCTAGATATTCCATGTTTGTATGTTTATCATTGTCCTGATTGTCAATCTCTTCTCTTGCAAATAATTTTGACTTTCACCACAAGGCTCTGTAACTCCTCTGCGTGACGACCATTACATTTTTAGAGTAAATTTCAACTGAATTTTTGTTTGCTGGTGTTTTTGTAGTGGTCTTTGTGCAAATTGAAATTTCTATCTCTACACCCAGCCTTCCCTTTTTACCCGTGTTTGGTACCACCAATAATTCCATAGGAGCACCAGATTGAGTCTTCCCAGTGCACAGAGTGCGGCAAATTTCGTATTTTTGATGACTAATTGTTTTATTTTTGTGTCCTTACCGTTTTTTAAAATTTGAGAAAGTATTACACAAAAGTCAGTACCTAAGTTCTCAAACCAAGTTTATTACTATCCAATTTTACTTCTTCTGACCAGTCAACTATAAAAAAATTAGTTTCTGGTTGATGACTGTCTATTATAGGTAGTTTATTCTGGTTAAACTACATATACTGCTTGTTAGTTAGTCCCATGTCAACCTCTGATTGTTTCACTTTTGTGTCACCTGGCTAGTGGTAATGTAGATGTAGCGAACTAATTGGCTAACAAGCAGTCACATTTCAACTTTTACACTGCAAGTCTGAATTCCACCCCATATATCATTTTTTATGTACCCGGCCAGCCTAGTTACTCACGAAGTCTGGTTTCATGCTGAGTGCATGGGTCTGTGCTTGATGTCTACTTTAATCATCGGTAAAGATGTTTAAGCACTCTGACTTTTCTCACCGAACCAGGTTAAATGATGGATGACAAAGTTCAAGGACATTCAGTCAGTCAGCCACAACGTAGGACCAGGCACATATGTGCATCGGTCCAGGTTGCCATACCGCATCAGCACAAGATGAACACCGGATTCATAGCAGTGGTTAGGTCAAAGGTGGTAATATATAAGAGAAAGATTGCGTATAGAGATATAATACAAGAAAAAGTTAGTTCGTAGAAAGAAAGGTATGAAGCGATTTTAATCTCTTAGTTTAAGGGAAGACAGGGAGTGTATACACCGACGCCATTGTGATCGATTCTGAGCCATGTCACCAAGAGTCTCCAACCATTGGTTACGATAGTCACGCGGACACCAACCAAGTAGTCTGCATCTACCAACATGGCTCAGACTAGAAGTTAGTGACTTCAAGCACTGATGCCACGTTTTGGTTTGGCCGCCCCTAACTTTCTTCCAACCATTTCCAATACCGGATAGCATTGCACGTCGTGGTAATCGGTATTCAGGCATACGTAACACGTGGCCCAACCATCTCAGTCGATAAAGATTCATAACCTCATCAACTGATTTACCATCATTCCCTAATACCCTGCGTCTAACCTCACTATTACTTACCCGGTGATCCCAGAAGACGCCAGCAATATTTCTAAGGCATCTGTGGTCAAATACTAGTAGCTTGCGAGTGTCTTGATGGCCATGTTTCGCTGCCGTAAATTAAAACAGAACGGACTGCCGCGCAGTATACTCGTCCGTTAATTAATAGACGGATATCTTGCCTTCGCCACAGGTGACGTAAGTTGGCAAAAGCCAAACGAGCTTTTCGAATCCGTGCTGAGATTTCGTCAGACACCAACCCATTAGGGCTGATCAGACTTCCAAGATAAGTGAAGTTGTCAACGCGTTCGACTACTTCAATTCTTATCCTTAGTTCAGGTGTTAACGTAGACCAGTCCGGAAGCAACAACTTGCATTTAGAGGGAGAGAAGCGCATTCCAAACATTCTGGCATTGTTGCTCAGTTCTACCAGAAGACTCTGCATTTTGTCAGCGTCTTCACCAAACAGGACTATGTCGTCTGCATATTCTAAGTCGATAAGTGGACCTCCTGGATGGAGATCAAAATAGGCTATATATATAACTTTATTTACTTGAAAGTATTCTTAATTCAGGTAATTGGAGTTGATGTCTCTTGAACAGAATATGTTTCCTAACAGTGATGATTGCAGTATGTTATTCTTATTTCTGAAGTATATTTTAACCAGACAATGATTCAGCCAATCAAGATAGTGCACCTGCTATCCATGTAGATGATGTACAACGTATGGAAGCTCGTCTTTTAAAGTTGTTGGATGAATTTAACGCTGGGAAATCATCGTTTGGTAATGAACTGTCACTCCTATTCAGTAAAAATGTAGGTCCAAATTGTCCTTATGAAAAACTTGACTCAATACGAAATCAGCAAGAAGAACTTATGCGATTGCATTTTGAGCAAGATAGGAAAATGATGTCGATCCTCGAAACAGGCTCAACTCTCGCGCGGCGTCCTGTTAGAGCGTAATTAACTTTTGTCGAAATTATTCTTTTAGACTTTTAACGGATGAAGGTCGGAAGACTACAAAGGCAAATATTGATGCACTAGTCACACGAGTAAGTATGTGTGCATTCTATGTCTTATACGACTTACTGTTTTAGCTTAAACGTAACCGTCTTTTGATTGTACTTCTATATTCATCCTAACTGCTATTTTTTTGCTATATATCTTAACCATTTTTCTTCATACATAATGCGATATTACGACTTCCTTATTGAACTTATAGAATTATTTACCGTGCTAATTATTAGTGATCTTCAGGATCCACCATTCAGATATTTTATTGCATCATGGTTCCTTGTCTTATCTGTTGTGTCTTAAATCAGGGAAATGATTAATATTCCCTTTGTATCTCATTTCTTAAAACTGTACAGGCCTAAAAACCTACTGGAATAACATTTTTATTTGAACCTCCTTTCTAATTCGTTTAGACTACTGATTTACATCTAATTGTTCATGAATTGCAGTTTATTCCATCTACTTTGGTTTTTCGAGTTAAGTGCTATTTTGTGGTAGTAACTGTTATCGTCTCTTTTAATCAATTAAATGCATTATTTAATCCACTGGCTGAAAGTTTATGCAGCAAAGAATTAAAAACTGAGTATGTTATAAATAGGTAATTTGCCCCAATATCTTAAAAAGTTGAGTCGCTAAAAACTAGGAAGAATCATCAATGGAAAAGTTTAAACTGTTTCACCTGTTTGAGTTTTGGCAGTTAAGCACTGTAACCTCACACGAGCAGTGTGACTCAGTGGTAAGTAAATGAACCTGTTTTCTTTATTTTTATTTAAACACATAAACATTGGTACAAGAAGTCACCATATATATGTATGTATATATATATATATATATATATATATATATATATATATATATATATATATATATATGCACCACACAAATCAAATGATTTGTGTGAGGGCTGGGATACCCCACGGGCGCACAGACCGAAGCAAGTGGTCTTCTGAGGGGTCAAATTCACAAGGCAGTGGAGCAACGTTAGGAGATGCAGTTCCATGGTAGCCCGTGACCAACAATAGGTTCGTTTGCCTTCTATTTCATCAGGATCCTGGAGCCCATGTACACCACTGGTTTTGAATCAGGGTTTTTCAACTCCCCCATGTGGATCCTTCGCATCCATCAACCCGGCTAAAGCGCCGGACATTCGCTTTTTGTCCTTTTAATTTCGTAGACATCACCCTCCCCTCGAGAAGACACTGAGTAGGACCTGCACTTAGTAAGCAAGCTATATTTATTATTACCATATCACCAGTTTTTAATTTTTTGTCATATATATATAGTGTATTTTCAACCATTGTTCGAAACAAAAGTTATATTAAGGTAGCATAAAGTACGTCCCGTTCTTTTAATTTCTACCTCGCCTTGGGACCGTGTGAAAACAAGTGAGATCGGCGTATTACTCTATATTTCCTAGCGATTAGCAACTGTATCGGGTTGATATTTGTCAGTAGATCAAGATTTCCCAGTTAGCTTTTGAAGATCACGTGACTCAGCTATTCAAAATGTTAGATCTGCTTCGAAGCAAAATGTCGGAAGCAAAGTGCATTTTTTCTTTAGGTGGCGTCAAAGGGATCCAAGGTCGCCTCAGTCCTTTTTTATGGTCATTCGATTATTTTTGGTAATTACTGTTACTATCATTCATTTATTACCTGACAAGTAGCTGTCACTATTTTGGTTGAATGGAAGCATTTGTATCCTAATATACACTTAAGTACCCAAATCCCGATACACCAACCCAGTTGCCCGGTGGTTTTGTTTCTTGAAATCTCTTTGGTTGGGGGTTCAGGTCTCAGTGAGTTATCAAGACGCCGAACTCAGTCACTGCATTATTTTCTCAAAACAAGCAATCGTAAAACTTACGGTTCTATTTTATCTCTCGTCATACCATTCTATGAATTTAAGTGTAATATGTTTATTTTGTTATTCAATAAGAAAATCCACTTATCTTTTAATGGTGATTAATGTATTATCTCACTGTTTTTTAGCTGGAGTCGCTAAGTTATGCAATGTAAGTTAATTTATCCTACTTTTATTATCAATGTTAGAATCAATATGTAGATTGTATATTAGTTTCATTGTTTTGTCTCATGTGATATCGTTTCATCGAGTTATTCATATTTATTTTCTCGAAATTCCAAGTCCTGAACTACTTGAGTGGCAGAGTTTAAATACAATTCCCTCTTGACTTACTGAGGCTGACTGCCTCCGTTTGTTCAATGTTTTTCATACAACAGACAATGTGGTGGCCACTTAATCTCAGAGAATGCATTAAATTTGTTTTACAGGCTTGTACCACGAATACGTAATAATTGTTGTTGTTTATCTCCAGTATAGAGTTGGTCTCATTGATAAACACAATTTGGCATATCTTTGAAATAAATTGCAACAAAGCGCATCTTAGGCTTACATCTAGCCCACAAAGTATGGCTCCTGATGAAACTACTATTGAGTAAGAAAGATTAGTGGTAAACCCTTAACACTGGGGGTATGGACGATGGAAATGCCAATTTAAGAAGAAGCTCTGCAACCACGCATAGTTACCTTTCGCTTGTTAGTATCTTATATGATAATAATAAGTATCTGAATTATAGTACGAACTATGAATCCCAGATATAACGTAATGGGATCAAGAAGTACTAGATAAGCACGAACGAATGTACTGTATTTGAAATTCGAAATCAAGCATTCAACAAGTACAAAGGAATCATTAGTTCATTCAAACACCACATCCACCACAGTTTAAATTAGAGTCTAAATGTCTGTAATCGATCGTACGTCTTCTTAAGTTCATCCTGTGTCTGTCCGACAGTGTATTGGATAAAGACTCTGTATTATCTAGAATGTGCTCATTAGTATTAGAATTAACAACTGAAATCGGAACAGACTCACCTACTTCCTAGGATTGTGTAATCAGCATGTCGGTTGTGTGCTGAAACCGCTGCTACCTAGAATTTGAACCATAGACTTTTAGACTACCCTCCCCCACGAAATACTGTTGGATCCTTATATCCCCAATTTATGAATGACGTGGCTTCATTTAAAACATATTTCTCACATTGGTTAGAGTAAACATTAGAAGTGTTTTTGTGATAAGGATAAACAGCAGTTGATATGAAATCATCCGAATTGTAATCAAACTCGAGTTCATTTAGTACTTGTGCTTCTCACTGAACAAGTTTCCCACAAGGAACAAATGCATTATGAGGACAAATAATATTTGATATGACATCAAGATTTGATTCTTCTGAAATAGTTTCCTCAAATTTATTAAGAATGTCATTACAGAGTAAAGGATCATTAGAAAAATTAGCATCTATCAAAACTACATCAGGTTTTCGATCATAATTATGTTCACTCAACATATTTTCTTCAGATTTGTAAGAAATCTCATCAGAAATATGTGAATCATCAGGAAAAGCCATACCCGGTACAATAACATGAGAATTCTGACAAATTGATTGATTAGAAACCGTTGTCTCACAAGGATTCTGAGTTTCATTTAACTCCGAACTGCTATATGACTCTACACTGTCTTTTAAAATCGTTGATAAAGATAAATGATCATTATGAATACTCGACTCAGTAGAATCAGAATTACAAGACTTAATATTAGTTGCAGTAAGATGAACATTAGTATTACAAACTGACTGAATATGTCCAATATCACCACATTTAAAGCACTCAGAATTACGGAATTTACATGAGTTAAAAGAGTGGAACTTGCCACAGGACAAACATTAACCAAACTTGTGCCCATCTTTTTGAAATGCATTGCAACTCCTCAATGAATTATCTGCATAGCCTTGAGTATGCACTAGGTTGGGATGACGTAATGTGGTGGAATTTTTTATATCCTCATGAATCACTTTACAAAATCTTCCTTTATTGCGTTCAAAATTTGTATACTAAACAAAGTCTAGCAGCAGTTCCTTGAGAGTTGTATAAGGAAGCGAGATAGGCTTTCCCGGCATAGCCAGAGTTCTTAATAAGCTATATGCTTCTTTTCCGATGAATATGAGGAAATGTACCACAACATTAAAATCCTCAGCATCTTCCTTGGTCATAGCCCAGATTTCGAACTTTTCAAAATAATCCTCAAAAGCATCGAGCTCTGAATGTATATCCAACAATTCCATTACAGGCTCAATCACGACGCCAATATGATGATTAGGAGTATTTGAATTATAGTACGAACTAAGAATCCCAGAAATAACGTAATGGGATCAATAAGTACTAGATAAGCACGAACGAATGTACTGTATTTGAAATTCGAAATCAAGCATTCAACGAGTACAAAGGACTCACTAGTTCATCCAAACACCACATCTTATCACGTACGTGACTAGAAACCAACATCTATAATGCAAGTCTAGTCGGACTCAAAGTGGCTTCGGCCCCTAATTGAAGCTCTTCATTGACGAACTTCCAAAGATTGTTCTCAAGTCAAGTTGGGTCTTTCAACCCGAATTTCTCATACCAAGATGTTTTAAATTATAATATCATGTTCCTCCATTTAAAGGCGTTGTTAAACTCCGTCAATCGAAATGTTTGATGGCGCAATCGGTTACTGAATAACTGCCTTAGACGTTTGTCGAATCGCCATAGTTCTCATGGATGTGTGATGGTCTCTGTTATGACCTTGGATGTCTGACTTTTCTATCACACGATTTATCTACCAATCCGAATACGACTTATACGAATCTTCACACTATTCCAACCAATGACGTTCAACCGGTGTGGGCAGTTTAGCGTCCTTATTGGTCCTATGTCCTCCGAGCCCTTCCACTTGAGTCCAGAACACAATACCAGCTTCCGTAATATGAATCGAATCAGAGCAGATCAGACCAGACCGTTTATTTCAGACATACCCGGTTTATATATCAATCAGACAAACCACAACGTACCATAAAATAGGAAATAATATTTGTACACAAATAAGCCACAGAGTGGCTGTGAATGAGGGGGACAGTAATTAATAGACTGAACGTAATTTAGGGACAGTAAATCGTACAATAATAAAATATAGGTCAAAATAAAGCTTATAATAAGAGGAATATAAATATACATAATGTAATTGTTGAATAGTTATACAATAAGAATATTTATAGAATATTAGTCCATAAATAGTCCTTGGAAGTTACCTGTAATTTAATCTTCACCGGATATAACAGTCTCGCTATCGTGTTGGGTGATGATCTGGATATTTTGTCTTTTGGGAACAGAACTTCACCTGACTTCCACAGTATTTCAGATCTATCTGTAGCGTATCTCGGGATTCCATCACATACGTAAATTAGGACTAGGTTTTTTTTTCTCATATGTGAAAATGATTTAATACTTTGCATCCAGTACATATTTTATAGTGAATATTTAATTCACTTTTCCTTTCAGACATAATCTTCACTATGCTAATAGACCTCGATCGTAACATTCGCAAACTTTTGCCCAACAAGAAACATTATTCCGCTGATTTATTATTTTATCTTCTAAAATTGTCCGTTAATTAGTAGTGATAACTAATGTAACTTTGAGAATTTCAACAGCACTGACTATCGATTTTTAAATTGTGACCAGAATGAGGTCACGAAATGGTCATGCGTAAATTGTCAGTTATTTGGTGTTCCCACTGTCGTATGTTTTACATAAATGTAACGAGCAGTTTCTTAGCAGAAGGGACTTAAGTCAGTAATTATTTATTACTTAGTAACTCAGCTTTCAATGACTTCAGTGTAATGGGATTCTTTCCCCCCAACTGGACGCAGTGCAGCACTTTGGCTGTTGATTACCCATAAGCATACAAAGCTAGACACAAGGAAGAAAATATGGATAAATATACACTTCGCAGTCAAAAAGCAGAGCAGCTAGTCTTCAACAGTTTTTTTAAAAATGTACTCAATTTAGCAGTTATCGTTGTATAGAGACTAATGAATAGAAATGTGGTGACTGATTGTATCGTGAAATATCTGTATTATAATATTATCGACCCTTTTCAGACAAATAATCTTAAATGACATAAAAACATGTGAGAGTATTAACGTTATGATTACATAAACTAAGATGGCAGGAATCAAGCTTCATCAACAGTTAAGTGAGAGAGGTTGTTGATGGAGTTATTTTAAATTTCCATCATTTGTAACCCAGTCAGCATAAATGCTTTTGGTATATTGTTATTTCACTTGAATAGTTTCATGGTCGGTGTTCAGTATATTTTGCGATTGTATATTTACTCGACCCCACTCATGACTTTAAAAAAGTATTACTCTTAGACAGCGCGTAACTGAGATCTTGGATAACATAAGGGAACTGCCCTTTGTTACAATGCATAGTGAAGCCAACTTTTTTCTCGTCTCTTTGAATATAATTTTCTCGATCGGGAAATGGTAGGTGAATAATTACATTTAATTAAAATATACAATATCTCAACGCATCCAATCATCACTGTAATACGTTTGCTGGGAAATATCGTAAACACAAAACGAATACTGCATTCTTGTAATTTAGGATAGTTAATCGACCGCCGTTCTTACCAGTGTATTTCCTAAACATTATTTTGTAATGATCTATGGGCCTTTACAACTTGAATCCTTGTTAGCAACTCATATGGTGACTTTAAACATATCACGGCACATATATGTATCAAAATGAGAGGAATTCTGCAGAAACCTCAGGGAAATGGCTTTGATTCATCCATAAATATTCAACTAAACATGCATGGTTTTCTTTTTTAGAGGAAGTGCTATTGTCGAGCTATTAGTAGAACGGACCGTTTCTCATGGCGGCAGCAGTCCGCTGTGCTCTCTGTATTTAGGACAGGACCTTCAAATCTACATATAGTCATTAAAATAGTATTCGATTATAGCACTTCTCGTATACTTGGGGACCATCGAGCTAGCACTTCTGAGTACTAGGTATTACAAATCGGTTGATGAGGCAGTGATGAATCTTTGTTGATTGAGATGGCTAGGACATGTATTAAGCATTCTCATCTACTGACTGCATCGACTCACGATGATGGCTGATGTAGGACTAGGCTGGACTGAGTTATGTAAGCAGGTGCAGACTAACTAGTTGAGGTCCCAGTGATTATCGAAACACTTGTTTAAAGACTTTGGGTAACATAGTTCAAGATCGTTGGTATTAATGCAGATTTATCCACTCCTTGTTGTCCTTTTAATCCTAACTTTTTCTTCACTAGTTCACATTTGTTTGGATGATAACCTTTATATCCAAAATTTTCCATTTTCACTAATACAATTAAAATAACACATTGTGTCACTGAATAAAAATAAATAGAATCCCGCGAAGATTTCCTTTTGGATGAAATCACTGTACACTCGTATTTATGATTGTGTCGTAAATATACGTCTGTAGAAGGATAGGAAAAATTGATTCGAAACTCAAGTGAAGTGACGTAATAATCAGGGGGTTAGAGAAGCATATAATGAAGATAATGTACAGGTCATAATTATGGAAGAGAGTTGTCCACTTTACAGATATGAAGAATAACGGAAAACATAAACGTCATAACAATAATTGGAGTATAATCATGGAAAATTGTTAAGGGATAATAATAACTGATCAAGGTTTAAGATTGCGAAACATTAATAAAAAGGGACTGAAACAAACTACAAAAGAGAATTAGAGCCAAGAAAGGAAAAGAGGTTGGATGTATCGTCTTTGAACACAGAGTTCAGGCTTGAATTGGCGGATCGCTAACGCCTCAGTGGTGCATGAGTTTTTGATTTGATGTGCACAGAGTTGACTAGATGCTCTTGTATCGAACTAGTAAATGTTTTGCATTCACTTTCAGGTGAATATGTCCCAATGACAATAGACAACAAACTACTTCAACAATATTCATCAGAAATGGTTACCCACTTAGATCTGTCGATAGGAACATAAAAACATCGTGTATGGTGTCCCAGTTAATACAAGGGCACGATGAGCGAACCCTAGGTTCAAAGACATATCAATTGTCGTTCCCATACTTTCAGATTGCGTAAAAACTCACCTTACCAGTTCGGAGTTAGTCACCCACTTTCCCAACTTGAAACTTCGAACCATCAGTTCGTTCAGTTGTACATGTTTTTCCGCATCTTCATTGAAGAAGGATACTAGGCGATCGTCCATGTGATGCACTACGCTGCTATCATAGTCATTAGGGAATCTTTGAAGTGTTTTTAGCGATGCAACGTTTGCATAAAAGTGGGAGAACACTGCATCAAAGGGGTGTGGTGTCATCTCATATTCCACAGGTTCGTTTGCGAAATTATTATTAATGGCTTTATTTAATATTATATTTTGGTACAATATAGGATTCTCAGCACGAGGTATTTCGACAAGTTTCTCTTACAAAAATAGAAAAGGTGAAAAAAGATCTGGAACTGTACAACTTTCCAATTAAAGTCATGTTTGAGGACGCAGGTTATTAACTGGGCGAACTCTAATAATCTGTTCGTCACGGAGTATATTTACTAAGTAAGGTATTATAGCACTTTTATACCTTTGCTATTGGCATGGATTTTAATGTCGACGTCTCGTTCTACCAGGATGCAGCCTGTTTATGTAGTAAATCAGACGAAAAACTTTCTTCGATAACAGTAACACATAAGAAGTCCATGAGAGATAACAGGAAGAGGTAACACCAAGATAACTGACTCTCGACACTGTTTACCAGTCTCCAATAGCACAAGCATTATGAGATTCAAACAGGGTGTTTAGGTGCTGTTTATGTTTCAGGCTGAATTTAACAGCTTGATATTTAGACGGATTAAGTATGAGACCACCATTCAATACCGGACAAAAACTAATCCATTACTATGGGATGTGGAGGTGGAAAACGACATGCATATAGTGAGGTCGTCCGCATATTTCTGAAGCGTTTTCTATTGAAGACGGTGGATCATGCATATTATCACTAGATACTTTCTAAGGTATATGGATTATCTTTCTACACATATTCGGTATGAGACTAGTTGAGAAGGCTCCGTTAAAGATCCTCGTGAATGGATAACATAGAACGTCAATACATTTCTTAGAAAGCAGATTCGGGATCCCATCAGGTCAGGAGACATTTTCGGACATCAGTTTAATTGGGACTAGGGACACAACTATTCTCCAAAGCTGTGGATATAGGGAGCATGACATAAGATGATTGACATACAAAAGGCTTATTTAAGTCACAAACATTCGGCTGGTTATCGCCTCCAGTGTGCCTGTTACCTACAAGTTCTTTAAAGAGTTTTTACATACTTGGAGTTTTTACGAGATAGGAGTTTCTGAGTAAAAATAAAGTTAAGACGTTTAATCTCTAGGTTTATTAGACCATTTAGCTTACGAACTTCTCGTACATTCATTGTTTTAGCTGTAGAGATGTAAGTCGATCAAAAGTTTAAGAAAATGGTTTGACTGGTACAACAAATATCAAAACAGAATTTAAGATAACAAGTGGTAACATCAGTAGTGTTTTCGGTGAGACTAGTTTATGGACTACCTTTGAGCGACGCTAAAGAGATCCTGAGAGTGTTCACCTAATAAATATTACCAAATAGGGTTATAAACCTGTGTGCGGACTTTGAATTGTGATTTACAGTTGCTTAAAGTTAGGAAAAATATTTATGGTATTTATCAGGAAACTAAGTTGATGACCGAATTTTGCGCCAAAATCCGAGACCAGTTTTAGTATATCTTATTGGTTCGTCCATTAATTACAGTCTCGCCATTTTTTCCAATGAGTAATCTGTAAATAATTCCCAGTTACTCGTACGAAACATGTTTTTCAGATTCTGAATATTTTTGGAGTAATTCCTATGCTTAACTTTCTGATGTAAGATTGGACTCTTTTCATAATTTCCGTATACTTTAGGTGGAATATGAATTATAAGGTGATCCGAGCTAAATAATGGAGCACGTTTACGAGTCACATATGTGCCCATATCATTAATGAAAACAGTCTAAATGAGCATCCAAACGAGTGGGAGTATCTACTACATTTTGGTGACTTAGTGATGAATAGAAGCTACAGTCATATGAATTGAAATCACAACATGCAATTTAAAGTGAACCACTGAAGGCAGTAACAGTGAATTCAGTGGCTTAATCAGCAAAAACAGATAGCGCAGATGATGTGCAGTCTGAAGTCACGTAGATTTGGGTAACATAAACGTATGTGTATTTATTTGGGTGGCATCTTAAAGTTAGACAATCGATAAAGTCATCAGAAAACTTGGAACAGGAAAAAGTAGATCGACACCACTTCATATTGACAAACGCAGATCCACCGCCACCGCAAGTCCTTTTATTGCTTGATCGGTCCTGACGATATATATTGAAATCACGTAGTGATACTGTAGGGCCAGTGAAATGTCACTAAGCCCTAGCAATACATTAGGCTTACGTGACAACGCTGCGTTTGAAACCAATCCAGCG